AAAAAAAAAAAAAAAACAACTTTATTGTGGTAGAGCATATGTTTACCATCTTAGCCATTTCACAGTGTGCAGTACACTGGCATTAGGTATATTCATGTAGTTGTGCAGCTGTCGCCACCATGAATCTTCGGAACGTTTTTCTGTTCTCAAACTGAAATATTTATTTTATCCATAAAAAAGACACCCCTACCAGTCTTCATCCACGGGCATTTTTATGATCCCTTCCTGTTCTGCAGCTTCTTTTGGTGCCCAAATTACATCACATTTCTTGCTGAAATCCAATTAAAAATAATTGACACATCTAGGGACATCAGACCAACAATGGCAAAACACAGTACCAGGAAACAGAAAAATGAAGTGTTTGTCACAGAAATGCTACAGGAGTGCAGCTTACAGGAAGCCACAGCTATGTTAACATTTCTTCCTGCCCCAAGTTCAAAAACAAGCTGGACAATCTCAAGGTGACTGAATTTTCCTGCCATGGAGTCATAGATGTCTCTTGGGTTTGTTTTCAAGATCTTCATATTCAACTCACACCTATTATCACACCTATTATCCTCTGGGAGGCTAAGGCAGGTGGATTGCCTGAGCTGAGGAGTGTGAGAACCAGAGTGAGACATGGTCTCTAAAAATAGCTGGATGTTATGGTAGGCACCTGTAGTACAGCTACTCGGGAGGCTGAGGCAAGAGAATCACTTGCCTATGAGTTTGAAGTTGCTGTGACACCATCACACTCTACCCATAGCAACAATGTGAAACTGTCTCAAAAAAAAACTTCATATTCAGCTGGGTGCAGTAGCTCATGCCTATAATCCGAGCACTCTGGGAAGGTAAAGACAGGTAGGTGGATTGTTTGAGCTCAGGAGTTCAAGACCAGCCTAAACAAGAGGGAGAACCATCTCTACTAAAAATGGAAAAACCAGCCAGGCAGCAAGCGTCAGGTGCTTGTAGTCCCAGCTATTTGGGAGGTTGAGGAAGGAGGATTGCTTGAGCCCAAGTGTTTGAGGTTGCTATGAGTTATTTTTTTTCATTATTATTATTTTTTTTAGAGACAGAGTCCACTTTGTTGCCCTCAGTAGAGTACCGTGGCATCACAGCTCAAAGCAACTTCCAACTCTTGGGCTTAAGCAGTTCTCTTGCCCCAGCCTCCTGAGTAGCTGACACTTCAGGCACTTGCCACAACGCCAGCCTATTTTCTTTTTGTTGATGTTGCAGTTTGGCTGGGGCTGGGTTTGAACCCACCATCCTCGGTGTATGGGGCCAGTGCCTTACTCAATGAGCAACAGGCGCCACCCTGTTGCTGTTGAGTTATGATGACGCCCTCACGCTCTATCCAGGGTAACAGCATGAGACTCTTATCTCAAAAAGGAAAACAAAAAAACCTTCATATTTAGATTTCTAAAGAATCATCTATCTCTTACTGGTACCACTGCTTCACACTTTGGCTTCTGTAGTAGACTGCTTCTCAAACTCTTCCCAAAGCTCCTTTTTGAAGTCCTCTGGTAGGCGCTAATTTATCTGTTTCATAGCTTCCTCTTGCCTCTCTTTTTCTTCTTTGGGGATGTTATCTGCTGGTGCTATATCCCCAGCGATACATTCTGCCATATCATCAACCAGGATAAGCCATACACATTGGTCTTTGTTAAGGTGGTCATCTTTGTTCACCATCTGGTACATCTTATCTGATAATGCTCTCTCGCTGCTTAACATTTACTCAGCCAGTCAGTGAGACCCTCTTGAGTTGTCCCACCAGTTATAGTATCTGCAGCAGGGACCTGGCCCACAGCTGGAGGAGGCCAAGGCCTTGAAGCCACTGATCCACCAGAGAAAAGCAGGTGGAGTGGTGAAACTCCCCCTCCACCCCTTCCTCTTCTTTCTCCCCTTTCTCTCTTTTTCCAGTCACACAGTATTTGTGCATTCATGACCAGCTTATTTCATTTAACATAAAGCCCTGAAAGTTATCCATGTTATAGCATGTGTCAGAATTTCCTTTTTTTTTTTTTTTTTTTGATACAGATCCTCAAGCTGTCACCCTGGGTAGAGTGCCATGGCATCACAGCTCACAGCAACCTCCAACTCCAGGGCTCAAGCAAGTCTCCTGCCTCCACCTCCCAAGTAGCTGAGATTACAGGCGCCCACCACAACGCCCACCACAATGCCTCTATTTTTTTTTTTTTGGTTACAGCCATCATTGTTGTTTGGCGGGCCCCGGCTGGATTCAAACCCGCAGCTCAGGTGTATGTGGCCGGTGCTTTAGCCGCTTGAGCCACAGGCACTGAGCCAGAATTTCCTTTTAAGGTGAATAATATTTTCATTGTATGGACAGACTACATTTTGTTGGAATGGATAATTATTCTCTCATTGTTGTACACTGGGTGGTTTCTGCCTTTTGGCTGTTGTGAATAAAGCTGCTGTGAACATAGGTGTGCAAATACCTTTCAAGACCATGCTTTCAATTCTTTGGGTCTGTACCCGTAAGTGAGATTGGTAGACTATCTCTGTACATTTTTAAGTCAGGAAGTCACATGATCTGATTTACACGTTTTTACAAAATCAGGTTTTTTGAGACAGTTACACTCCGTCACCCTGGGTAGAGTGTCAGAGCATCACCTCACAGCAACCTCAAACTCCTGGGCTCAGGTGATCCTCTTGCCTCAGCCTCCCAAGTAGCTGGGACTACAGGCACCCACCACAATGCCCGGCTAATTTTCCTATTTTTAGGAGAGAAGAGGTTTCACTCTTACTCAGGCTGGTCTTAAACTCCTGAACTCAAGCAATCCACCCACATTGGCCTCCCAGAGAGCTAGGAGTACAGGCATGAGGCACCACACCCAGCTCCTTTATGTCCTAAAGTTAAAAAAAATCTTTAAAATTTTAAATAATTAATATAGAACATGTATGCATATGACCACAGTAACAATAGTAGCTTACATATGACAAATTTAGGAAATAGTTTTAAATAATTAAGATTGAAAGAAAACAGCAAAAATTTTACAAACTTGGGGCTTGTTCCCAGGAAGTCTACCTTAATCCTACATCAACCAGGTTCAGTTCCAACACAAATCTGAATGCCTTCAAAAACCTGGGTGCCTGTGGCTCAGTGGGTAGGGTGCTGGCCCCATATACCAAGGGTAAAGGGTTCAAATGTGGCCAAACTGCAACAACAAAAAAATAGGCAGGCGTTGTGGCAGGCGCCTGTGGCTCATTGGGTAGGGTGCTGGCCCCATATACCAAGTGTGGTGGGTTCAAATCTGGCCAAATTGCAACAAAAAAAAATAGCCAGGCGTTGTGGTGGGCACCTGTAGTCCCAGCTTCTCGGGTGGCTAAGGCAAGAGAATTGCTTAAGCCCAGGAGTTGGAGGTTGCTGTAAGCTGTGTGATGCCATGGCACACTACCGAGGGCCATATAGTGTGACTCTGTCTCTACAAAAAAAAAAAAAAAAAACCCTGGGCTTTAGGCATGCACAGGTGTCATCTTGCCTTGAAAGAGCACTTATTTTTGAGGGAGAAACATGGAGGAAAGCAAATGCTGGTGGTGTGTTTCCTGTAGGGCTAAACATGTTCTGCACAAGAGCTAGTGCTGCCTGAAGGCGTCACACCAGTCCCACTTAAACCAGCAGCTATACCATTTAGTCAGCTGCCTTTTGCGGGTTGTGGGAGACCTCTGGGAAAATCCCCTATGATAGGCTAAGACCAGGTGTGGTGGGCCCCACCATGTCCTAGTCTCTAGACTAGGAGATTTTGCATATGTGATTAAGGACCTCAAGATGAGAAGAGTATGCTGGATTATCCAGATATGCCCAATGTCATCACATGGTCCTTAGGAGGGAGAAGAGTCAGATGTAGTGATGGAAGTGGACATTGGAATAATACTGGGCCATGAGCCAAGGAATGTGGGCACCTCAGGAAACAGGAAAGGACATGATACTCCCCCTGGAGCCTCCTGCAGGAGTACAGAATTACCAACACCTGAGTTTAGCCCCATGAGACTCATTTTAGACTTCTAACTTTCAGAACTATATCATACTAAACTACTGTTATTTTAAGCCATTGAGTTTGTGGTAATTTGTTAGGGTAGCAATAGGAAACTAATGTCTGGGATAACAGCACTGCTGACAACCTTCCCATGTGAGAAACCAATGGGGTAACAGACTGATTTCAGTACTTTTTGAGAGATGCTCACTGCTCTGCCTCTTTCAAAAGAAGATAGGATGGGCCTACAGCATGGCTTACACCTGTGATCACTAGCACTCTGGGAGGCCAATGTGGGTGGATTGCTTAGAGTCAGTTCAAGACCAGCCTGAGACCTTATTTCTACTAAAAATAAAAAAATTAGTTAGGCATTGTGGTGCACCTATAATCCCAACTACTCCAGAGGCTAAGGCAGAAAGGAGGATCACTTGAGCCCAGGAGTTTGAAGTTGCTATGAGCTATGATGATGCCACTATACCTCACCCAGGGTGACAGACTCTGTCTCAAAAATAAATAAAAAAATTAATAAGATAGACTGCATATGAGCACAGAGTGTGGTTTCTCTTAGCCCGCTGCTGAGAAATCATGCATGCTTGCTATGTTTCTCTAAGAAACTTCATCCTTAGTCGCCCAAGCCAGGTGAGATTTATCACTCTGCCTATTGGTTTGTTTTCTGCCCTGAGGAAATCAGATGAAGAGGACATACCCGTAACCTCCCTTTTTTTTCCTGTCTCAAAAGATCATTTTTAAATCTTGGAATCCTTCCTGCAGTTTCCATTTCATTGTGATCAGAAAAGAACAAAGTCAGTCATGATTGGGAAAGCAAGCACTAAGGCATTACTGCATTTGCATTTTGGCATCATATCAGTCCAGTTTTATAGACTTTATGGGTTCATTTTGCTTGGATACAATTAAAATATGATTTGGGGCTTGGCACCTGTGGCTCAAGCAGCTGAGGCGCCAGCCACATACACCTGAGGTGGTGGGTTCGAATTCAGCCTGGACCTGCCAAACAACAATGACAGCTGCAACCAAAAAAATAGCTGGGTGTTGTGATGGGCACCTGTGGCAGAAGCAGGAGAATCTCTTGAGCCCAGGAGTTGGAGGTTGCTGTGAGCTATGATGCCATAGCACTCTACCCAGGGGACAGCTTGAGGCTCTGTCTCAAAAAGAATAATAAATAAATAAAATATGATTTGGTCAAAGGACTCAGACCTAAGCATAGGAAAAAGTGTTTCTTTCTCTTAGAACTATTTGCAACCCGTCTAGCCATTCGCAGATGTAAGTGTTCACCTGCGGGAGACTGAAAATTGCTCCCTGTTAACAGTTTGTGGCAATAGCACTTAGCAAATGTGTTAAGCAAACTTGATTGCAGGCTATGGTGACCCAGGCAATACCAGAAATATGAATTCACATTATGCAGAGAAAAAAAACTTCAGTGAACTCTCCATTTTAACCTAACCCTGACACTGAGAAGGCTGTGCAATGAGATGGCGAAGCCAGTGGCTCAGGAACTTGGCAGACTCAATCTAGGACTCATCTCTTGCTAGCTGAGGGGGTCTTGTCTTCATTTCCCCATTTATGCTAACTCATGTGAAGCTCTCAGAAGAGTTCCACTACAAAGTAATCACAACAGATTGTTAGTACTATGCCTGGTCTCTAGAGCTGAGTCTAGAATGCCCTGAGATCCAGATCCTAATATTACCTCCATCGTGATCAGTGGTGGGACAGGATTCATTAGAAAATGGTGGATTAGAGGTACAGCTGAAATTGTCACCTTTCACATGAATTGTAGGAGCATCCGTCATTTTTGCAAATGCCCTAAAATTTTTTCTTTGGGAATTACTCTATTGTTTTTGTACTTTTTGGCCGGGGCTGGGTTTGAACCCACCACCTCCAGTATATGGGGCTGGCGCCCTACTTCTTGAGCCACAGGTGCCGCCATGGGAATTACTCTAAACCCCACCCTTATGTATTCTGAACCAAAAAAAGTAATTTTTTGAACATCTCAGGGCAAGCAGGGACATGAACAGATTCTTGGACATCCATGTTCATAGCTGTGTGGCCAAAAGTTGGAAATTCCAAATGGCATTGACAGATTAGTGGATAAACAAAACAAGGTCTATAAACATGATGGAGGCTGGGCAAGATGGCTCACATCTGTTGTAATCCTAGCACTCCAGGATTACAGAGGCAGAATTGCTTAGGATCAAGAGACCTGCCTGAGCAACCAGACCTCATCTCTACTAAACATAAAAATAAACAAACAAACATGATGTAATATTCAGCCTTTTTTAAAAGGAAGGATGTAATCCCTGTTACTTGGGAAACAGAGACAGAAAATCAGTTGAGCCTTGAGCCCAAGAGTTCAAGGCTGCAGTGTGGCGCCTGTGACTCAAAGGAGTAGGGCGTTGGCCCCATTTGCCTGAGGTGGTGTAGGTTCAAACCCAACTCCAGCCAAAAACTGCAAAAAAAAAAAAGAGTTCAAGGCTGCAGCCTTGTGCCACTGTACTTCAGCCTGAATGACAGTGAGACCCTGACTCTAAAACAAAGAAACTTCCGACACACTCTACAACGTGGATGAACCCTGAGAATACTGTCTTAGTCCATTTGTACTATTACACAAGATCTCACAAACTGGGTTAGTCTCAAGTTGTCCTCCTGGGTAGAGTGTCATGGCATCATAGCTTCCAGCAACCTCCAACTCTTGGGCTTAAGCAATTTCCTGCCTGAGTTTTTCTATTTTTAGTAGAGTCAGAGTCTCAGTTTTGCTCAGGCTGGTCTCGAACTTGTGAGCTCAAGCAATCCACCTACCTCGGCCTCCCAGAGTGCTAGGATTACAGGCATGAGCCACTACACCTAGCTGACAAACTGGGTTATTTATAAACAATATGACTTTATTTCTCACAGTTCTGGCGGCTGGAAGTCCAAAATCAATGCAGGGGCTAGAGAAAGCCCACCTTTTTGCTTCCAAGGCGCTGGTTGCTGCTTCTTCCTCAGGGGATCACTGCTGTGTCCATGTGGTAAAGGGCTTAAGAACACAAGGGTGAACTCTAACAAACCTTTTTTGAGGGCATTAATTCAGTCATGAGGGTGGTGCCCTGTGACTTAATCACTTCCCAAAAGGCCCTACCTCTTAAAACCCCCAGAATGAGGATTAAATTTTAACATTAATTTTGGATGAGATACCACATTCAAACCATTGATATCATGCTAAGTGAAATAGTCATAAAATAACAAATACTGTATGGTTCTATTCATTTGAAGTACCTAGAATCAAATGTATAGAGACAAAGTAGAATGGGGGTTAAGAGGCGATGGGGAGCAGGAATGGGGACAGACTTTCAGTTTGGGATGATGAAAATGTCCTAGAAATAGATTGTAGTCGTTGTACCAACTAAGAATGTACTTAATGCCTCTAAACTATACACTTAAAAAATGGTTAAAATGGGCTCGGCGCCTGTGGCTCAAGTGGCTAAGGCGCCAGCCACATACACCTAAGGTGGCGGGTTCAAATCCAGCCTGGGCCCGCTAAAAACAACAGTGACAGCTGCAACCAAAAAATAGCCAGGCATTGTGGCAGGCGCCTGTGGTCCCAGCTACTTGGGAAGCTGAGGCAGGAGACTCGCTTGAGCCCAGGATTTGGAAGTGGCTGTGAGCTGTGATGCCATAGCACTCCACCCAGGGTGACAGCTTGAGGCTCTGTCTCAAAAAAAAAAAAAAAAAAGCAGGCTGAAGATCATGATTAAAGTTTATTTAAAAAAAAAAAATGGTTAAAATGGGCCGGGCAGAGTGGCTCATGCCTGTAATCCTAGCACTCTTATTAGAGGCACAGGAGGATCACTTGAACCTAAGAATTTGAGGTTATCATGAGTGAGGCTGATGCCATGGGACTCTAGGTTGGGCACTCAAAAAAAAAAGGCTAAAATAGTAAATGTTGTATTAATATGTATTTTACCACACAAAAAAAGTAGGAATAAAATCTGGCTATGCATTTCTTCCAAAACAACAGCAATTGTTCTGAGAAATTAAAATCACCACTTGAGAAGCCACATTATAGTTTATTATGATCCTAATTTAGTCCAAGCTGACAAATGAAATCATCTCTGTTGTATTTTAAGTTTCTTGGGCAGCACCATCTGAAGTCAGTCACCTATTGCCTTTTTTTTTAGAGACAGAGTCTCACTTTGTCACCCTCAGTAGAGTGCCATGGCGTCTGTCACAGCTCACAGCAACCTCTAGCTCTTGGGCTTAGATGATTCTTTTGCCTCAGCCTCCTGAGTAGCTGGAACTACAGGCGCCCGCCACAACGCGCGGCAATTTTTTTGTTGCAGTTTGACCAGAGCCGGGTTTGAACCCACTACCCTCCTTATATGGGGCCGGCGCCCTATTCACTGAGCCATAGGTGCCACCTCACCTATTGCTTTTTAAGCCACAGGATTAAGAAATTTTGGTTTCTCCATTCATTATTTTAGGGCATCTTAAATCACAGTTTAGGGTCAGATATAAGTCTTAACTGGTTGGTCTGTCCTGTCTTTGGGCAGGTAAGCTTCCCCTAGGCCCATATCCGGTGTGTCTGATGTGTCCTGGGCATCTTCACTTCCCCAAAGAAGCCAGGTAGGTGTACCAGAATAGAGCCACCAAATTAGCAAAAAGCACCCGGAACTGCCAAAAAAAGCCAGAGTCAGCCTGTGATCAGGGGGAAGCTGTGATAGTTACCAGACTTGTTGCTCAGCCACTGGTTCATCTCCCCACCCACCACTATATTGCTGTATTTATAGTTTGCACATAGCACCACGATGAGCCCCTGGCTTACAGGCCAACGGGGAAAACAACTATGCAGCAATCACAAAACCAGATCATTGGCCCTAAGCTTCACTGCACACCTGACCTTTGGCTCAACACCATCATCATAGTGGTAGCCCCCTGGAAATACAATTCACAGTGGCCCTCCCTGCTCTCAACCCTAACTTACTATTGTCCCTCTGCCCTGCTTTGATGACCTGAAATCACCTTTGGCCAGGTGCTGAGTCTCCCTGGTATGTGGCTCCTTAAAAAGATCAGTCCCATCCACCTGGTTAACCACTGTGTCCCCATGGTCTAGAGTAGCAGGGCACAGAGTGGACACCCAGAAGCATTTGCTGAATGAACTCCACTGCCCCTTAAGAATGTACCTGTACCCACCTACAATGAGAGCTCTTAACCACACCTCCCAGCTTTGTCCCCAGGCCACCACCCTAGTCCCTCTGCTACCAGCCACTCTATCTCTCTGTCTTTATTTCTAGCTACCTGTTCCTGAGTCCACGGCTGCAGATTCCTTACCCTGCAATTCTATTAGCTCCCTGGGAAAAGCACTACCCGCCCTGTCGCCTCACTTCCCGAGGCTGACTGCAACTGACTCCAGGGGGACAAGACACAGGCATGCAAGGGTCTTCAGACTTCTTGGTCCCTCTGCCCAGAAATCCTATTGTCTTGTCATTTTGCTCCACCTCAGGAAGGTGTCTGCTTATACATGTGTGCAGCTTCTACATCTAATAGATGTGTAGTGCTTGTGTACAGGGTATGTGTGATGCATGCTCTGAGGACCTGCATGATCCTCCTGGGGCACCCTGATATGCTCAACTCCGGGCTGAGCATAGTCTGACCAACTTACACCCCCCAGGACACCTGCAGCCTCACAGAGATCTTTCCCTGTCCCCCCAGGCCCTGCCCTGGTACAGCTGCGCCAGCCCCTCCCTCTGACACAGCGCCCAGCACGTCCAGTGACTGGACAACCCTGACATGGAAAAAGCAGGATAAGGCAGAACCAGCCCAGGAAAAGCCTATGCTGCTCAGCTACCAAGGGCAGAACCCCAAACCCATGGCCTTACCTGCAGTGGAACATAGTTGATGTTGACAAATTGCACGGGTGTCCAGACCCTCCAGTTCATGCGAAGCGCAGGCCAGAAGCGGGCCCGCACCCTGGCCAGTGCATCCTCGGTGTTCTGCCCCTGTGGGGAGGCAGGGTCAGCATGTGGGTGGGGTCAGCCCTGCCAGAGAGGTGGGGCACCTGAGGGGCAGGGGAAGTGTAGTCAGCATGTACTGGGGGAAGGGTCGAACCCCCAGGGGCAGCTGTCATCCTCCCAGGTGCTTGGCAAAAAAGGCAGAATATGGGTTTGTTCCAGCAGAGCTGTGGGGCAAGGGCTGCCCCTCCCCCTCCCTATAGTCCGTCCCATCTCCCTGCATTCCTCCCACACACCCCTACCCTGCAACTGCTACTGACTTAATGGTCTGGTCAGTCCTTTCTTTTTTTTTTTTTTTTTTTTGTTTTGAGACAGAGTCTCACTTTGTTCCCCTTGGTAGAATGCCATGGCAGCACAGCTCACAGCAATCTCCAGCTCTTTGGCTTAGGCGATTCTCTTGCCTCAGCCTCCCAAGTAGCTGGGACTACAGGCAGCTGCCAAAACACCTGGCTATTTTGTTGCAGTTTGGCTGGGCCAGGTTTGATTCCACCACCCTGGATATAGGAAGCCGGTGCCCTACTCACTGAGCCACAGGTGCTGCCCTGGTCAGTGCTTTCAAAATGCCCACAAAGTTGATTCATTCCCCCATCAAAACCAGTCAAGACTTTTTAATAAAATGGACCCCAATAAACTGATTCTAAATGTCACCTGGAAGAATAAATGAGTAAAAAACATCATCTTGGAAAATAAGGGGGGGAGGCCTACTTTACTATAGATTTTGAAAAATACTACACAATTGTGGTAATTAAAATAGTCTGGTAGCAACTGCCAAAACCTCCCCCCAACACAAAATACAATGAAAATGAAAAGAATCCAGCAAAAGAGCAAAGAGTCCAGACAATAGCCTAGTCACATGAGAATATGATAGTTTTCATTGCAAAATCCTGGGTATTGGCTCAGTGCCCATAGCAGTGTTACGGAATTGGGCACATGCACCAAGGCTGACAGGTTCGAACCTGGCCCAGGCCTGCTAAACAATGACAACTGCAACAACAACAAAAAATAGCTGGGTGTTGTGGCAGGTCCCTGTTGTCCCAGCTACTTGGGAGGCTGAGGCAAAAGAATCGCTTGAGCCCAAGAATTTGAGGTTGCTGAGAGCTACTAAGAGTGACAAAATAAAACTCTGTCTTAGCTTGGAGCCTGTGGCTCAAGTAGCTAAGGCGCCAGCAACATATACTGGAGCTGGTGGGTTCAAATCCAGCCCGGGCCCGCCCAACAATGACAGGGGCAACCAAAAAAGAGCCGGGGGTTGTGGTGGGTGCCTATAATCCCAGCCACTAGGGAGGCGGAGGCAGGAGAATCACTGAGCCCAGGAGTTGGAGGTTGCTGTGAGCTGTGATGCTAGGGCACTCTACCCAGGGTAACAGCTTGAGGCTCTGTTTCAAAAAAAGAAAGAAAGAAAGAAACTCTGTCTCAAAAAAAAGAAAGTATAGGAAGTGCTATAGTATAGCACCAAGAAAAAGAACAGCAGATTTGAATATATGAATTTTTAAAACTTCTGTATAGAGAAAAGAACAGTAGTTTTATTTATATAACTTTGAATTTTAACTTTATATTAAAAGACAAAACACCTAAAAAATGGGAAAAATATCTGTAACTTGTACTTGGCAAAGGATATCTTTAACATCCAAATACATAAGTCAGTACAAAACAACACAAAAACAAGAAAAAAATTCAAATACTAATAGAAATGAACTAAAATTCACTTGGTGCAGTGGTTCACACCTGTAATTCTAGCACTCTGTGAGGATGAGGTGGGAGGACCACTTGAAGCCAAGAGTTTGAGACCAGCCTAAGCAATTCAGCAAGGCTGGAATTAATACAAAATTAATTCTGCAATTAATACAAAATATTAGCCCAGTTATTTGAGTGACTGTTACAGTGAACCATGATACCACCTCTGCCCAGGTGACAGAGTGAGACCCTGTTTTCTCTTGGGGGTAAAAAAAAAAAACAAACAAAGGGTGGGTGTAATGAATGGCACTCTGGAAGTCTGAGGTGAGAGGAATGCCTGAGCTCAGGGATTCAAGGTGCAGTGAGCTATGGTGACACTAAAAAAATAAATAGGCTCAGGGCGGCGCCTGTGGCTCAAAGGAGTGGGGCGCTGGCCCCATATGCTGGAGGTGGCAGGTTCAAACCCAGCCCCAGCCAAAAACTGCAAAAAATAAATAAATAAATAGGCTCAGTGCCCATAGCTCAGTAGTGAGGGTGCTGGCCACATGCACCAGGGCTGGTGGATTCAAACCTGTCCAAGGCCTGCTCAACAACAACAAAAATAATAAATAAATAAATAAACAAATAAAAAGGCAAAGTTCATGGAAGAAATACAAAGGCCAAGCCAGGCGCAGTGACCCATGCCTATAATCCTAGCACTCTAAGAGGCTGAGGTGGGTAGACTGCTTGAGCTCAAGAGTTCAAGACCAGCCTAAACAAAAGCAAGAGCGAGTCTCTACTAAAAATTGAAAGAAACTAGGTGTTGCGTCAGATGCCCATAGTTCCAACTACTTGGAAGGCTGAGGCAAGTACATTACTTGAGCCCAAGAGTTTGATGTTGCTGTGAGCTATGATGCTGTGGCACTCTACCCAGGATAACAGAGTGAGACTCTATGTCAAAAAAAAAATAAAAAAGAAAAAAAGAAATACAAAGGTCAGATAAGCATATAAAAAGTTGTGAGACCTTATGAATAAATACATATAAAATATAAATGAAACTAAGGTTTCACCTAAGAGATTGCAAACTACTTAAAAGAAAAACACAGTCATGGTTGTTAAGAATATGGGGAAGCGGCTCAGCGTCTGTGGCTCAAGTGGCTAAGGCGCCAGCCACATACACCTAAGGTGGCGGGTTCGAATTCAGCCTGGGCCCACCAAACAACAATGCCGGCTGCAACCAAAAAATAGCCAGGCATTGTGGCGGGCGCCTGTGGTCCCAGCTACTTGGGAGGTGGAGGCAAGAGACTTGCTTGAGCCCAGGAGTTGGAGGTTGCTGTGAGCTGTAATGCCACGGCACTCTACCCAGGGGGACAGCTTGAGGCTCTGTCTCAAAAAAAAAAAAAGAATATGGGGAAGCAAACCTCCCATTGAGGAAGCAGCAAGAGGATTAAGACTTTCCTCAGCCATAAAGCCTGGAACCTGAATTCTGGCTCAAAGACTGGAAAGTTACATGCCTTTAAGCCAGTCATTTACTGGCTCTGGGTTTCAGGTTCCTTAACTGTCACAGGGGGCCATTATGAGAACTAAGATGACATGAAGTACTCCTTGTAGAGCTCGGAGAAAGGCATGTGCTCGACTACTGTTAGCTGTTGTTATGCTACACTGCTGCAGAGAACACAGACAGACAGCCTTTTTGGAGAACAGTCTCAAAAACTGACCAAACAGGAACCCTTCCTTACATAATGGGGACAGGCACACAGTAGCCTTTCTGATCAAAGAAAACTGGGATGTAGAGGCTTGGGGGTGGGAATGCACAGTGGTCCTACTACATAGTTACATTTCAAATTACTTTGTGCACTTTGGTAACATTTGGCATATATACACAGGTTTTTTGTTTTTTTTTTTTTTTGAGACAGAGTCTCACTGTGTTGCCCTCAGTAGGTGCCTTGACAGCTCACAGCAACCTCCAACTCTTTGGCTTCAGTCATTCTCTTGCGTCAGCCTCCCAAGTAGCTGGGACTATAGGTGCCCGCCACAACGCCCGGCTATTTTTTGTTGTTGTTACAGTTGCCACTGCTGTTTTAGCTGGTAGTTTGAACCTGCCACCCTCGGTATACGGGGCAGGCGCGTACCCACTGAGCCACAGGCGCCACCCCATGGGTTTTTTTTTAATGAAAATATTTTCCCTTTATATTTGGGAGGAAATAAGGAAGTACCCACACCTCTAATGTGTGGTACATTTTGCTTCTTTCTCACTCAGATTTACTAAGAACTTTCCAAGCATTTCTTTTTACTATCAGGGACTTATTAATCATCATAGTTAAGTTTAAACATCTTTCCTAATTTACCCAGTATTCCCTTTAGAAACAAGAACCTGACATGCTGTTTCAAAATAAAATCTGAGTGAAACCATTTAATTGCTGTGATTGGTTAAAACAAATCACTTTCAGGACAGAACACAACCATCTCAGACACACAGAACCACCTGGCCCTTATTTCGGAGATGGTAAGGATCTAGAAGTGCCAGTGAACTAGGAATGTTGCACACATTCCAGAGAATAGCACCTGATGAGTACACATGGACAATTGATTCTGATTTAAGTTTATGCTGATGAGTTGACTCTTCAGAGCACTTACGATGTCGCAGGAGAACTGCGTTCAAACAGGCTTCTGTATTATCACTAAGGGGTCTTAAACTTTTTATACCATGGATCTGCATGCCAATCTGGTGAAACCCAAGATCCCCATTCTCAGAATCATGTTTTATAATGTATAAAATACCTAAGACTAGCAAGGAACCAACTATACTTAAATATAATTATCAAAATATTCAGAAAACATGAAGCCTTTACATCTTTTATATTAACCTGGATGGAGTTGAAACACATTCTTCTTAGTAAAGTACCACAAGAATGGAAAAGCAAGTATCCAATGTACTCAATACTAATATTAAGCAAGCAACGATCTAATACACACCCATGTAAGAGAAAAACTCAATTCAAGTGGGGGAGGAGGGAGGAGAGAGATAGGTGTGCTATTTAATGGGCACAATGTAAGGTGGTATGGTGGGACACAACAATAGGACTCTCCCTATCAAATGTAAACATTATTAACTTAGTTGTTTCTACCCTCACATTAATCTGAAATTAAAAAAAAAAAAAAAAGTTGGGAGGCTGAGGCAAGAGAATGGCCTAAGCCCAGGAGTTAGAGGTTGCTGTGACCTTTGTGACGCCACGGCACTCTACTGAGGGCAATGAAGTGAGACTCTCCCTCTACAAAAAAAAAAAAAAAAAGGCAAAATTCAGAAAACAACTTTATAGAAGACCGATGTATGTGCTTCCTAACATATCCAGTGACAATACCGAATGGCAAATCCAGGCAGTAATGAACATAAATTATATTTCAAGACATCTGTAATATAACTGACATGTGAATTCTACTGGGGACAAATAGGTACTGCTAATCCTACTGTGGTCTGCTTCCTACATTCATAAAGGAAACTGTAAAATTTGAATTTAAGCACAGTGAAAAGTTCACAGACTCTCTGAATTCTATCTACCAGGGATGTCAGGTTAAGAAAACCTGTGCAGAGTTGGGTGTGGTAGCTCATACCTGTAATCCTAGCAACTTGGGAGGATTGCTTCAACCCAGGAGTTCAAAACCAGCCTAAGCAACACAGGGAGACTGTTTCCAAAAATATATAAAACATAAAAATGGGTGGCACCTGTGGCTCAAAGGAAGGGCGCTGGCCCTAGATGCTGGAGGTGGTGGGTTCAAACCTAGCCTCGGCCAAAAACTGCAAAAAAAAAAAAAATTAGCCAGGCATTGTGGCAGGTGCCCACAGTTCCAAATACTTAGAAGGCTGAGGCATAAGGATCACTTGAGCTCAGGAGTTCAAGGCTGCAGTGACCTATGATGTTATCACTGCAATCCAGTGAGACCCCATGTCCTAAAAAAAAGGGGGGGTAAGACACCCCCCCAATGCTAAATGAAGAGCTGTGGTAAGTTCAACAGTAGACACCAACCTCCAGAAAGTTCATGACGAGGAAGAACAACAACAGGAAGGCTGGTGCAAAGAGGAGTCGGTCCAGGAGGAGCCTCTTGACTCCCGCCAAGGGAACCTCAGGAGGGATCCAATGCTCCAGGAAGAGGTAGAAGTAGTGACTCAGCGGCCCTGTGAAGAAGAATCTGACGTCCCAAGAAGGGTGTGAGCCACTGTGGTTCTCTGGCCATGTCCTTCTCTGGTCCAGCTTCACCCTGCCTCCCTGATGTTAAGTTCTGACCACACAAATATATCTTCTTTGAATGTGCTTCAAGCATTCTTTTCGGCTTCTAATAGACAAAGTCATTCCTGTCCTCGATCATTTGCTCCCAAAGCTGTCTCTCCATTTCCACTTGAGTGGTCAGCTTGAATAGGCCCTTCCTAATGGTCTGGCTGACACATGTCCCTGTGCTGTGTCACATTCCAGGCCCTGATCCATTTTTTGCAGAGCATTGTCATTATCTCAGTCTCTTGGTTAGAAGGGGCCCTCTTCTCCCCAGGAGGCAGACCCCATAGATAGGAAAGTAGTGTCTGTGTGTTCACTGCTGTATCCACAGTGACCAGAACAGTGCCTGGCCCTGAGAGGGTGTCAGTAATAAACAAATGGTCACATCCCTGGTTTTAGAGCATTTATCAAACTCTGGGGTAATTAGCAAGGGTAAGACCTGGTGCTGCACACTGACTGATCTGCATTTCCACTATTAATTCTACAGTGTATCTGGAACCCACCCACTTTGTCCACAGGGATAACAGACCTGCTGCTATGTAAAATTCAATAATAAGAAGAGGGGCAGGGCCGAGCACAGTGGCTCACACCTGTAATCCTAGCCCTCTGGGAGGCCAAGGTGGGTGGACTGTCTGAGCTCACAGGTTCAAGACCAGCCTGAGACAGAGCAAGACCTCCTCTCTATAAATAGCCGGCTGCTGTGGTGGGCACCTGTAATCCCAGCTACTTGGGAGGCTAAGGCAAAAGAATCACTTTAGCCCAAGTTTGAGCTTGATATGAGCTATTGACACTACCCACAGCACTTTACCAAAGGTGACAAAGTGAGACTGTCTCAAAAAAATAAAAGGCAGAAACCCAGGGGTCTCTCAACCTCTGGCACTGAAAGTCTTTAAACAAGTAGTTCTCAATTGGGTTTTCCCACCCCAGTGAAGGGTGTTATGTGACCTACAATAGGAATTCTTATTGGGGAGGAGAACTGAAGTCTTGGGGATGGATGGGTAATTGGGTAAGGCCTCCTAGGTGACCCCTCTCGGAGGTGATCACTGCTTTAAATATATTATGGAAAAACCCTGATGCTCAAGTTAGCATAGTTACAAATACAAAAATGGTCTTTGTAAATTCTGAATTTTAAACAAATCACTAGTTGGAAAAGACTTCAAAATAATACATGTGGCTTGGTGTCCATAGCTCAGAGGTTAGGGCATCAGCCACATATACCAGGCTTAAGCCCAAGAGTTTGAGGTTGCAGTGAGCTATGATGCCATGGCACTCTACCTAGGGCAAAAGCTTGAGACTCTGTCTCAGAAAAAAAAAAAAAAAACTAACACCATAGGGGCAGCACCTGTGGCTCAAAGGAGTAGGGCACCAGCCCTATATGCCAGAGGTAGCAGGTTCAAACCCAGCCACGAACAAAAACTGCAAAAAACAAACAAACAAACAAACAAAAAACTAACACCATTATTGGCCAAGATGGATTCAAGTTCTATCTTGAATTCAAGATGATTACAAGATGACTTCAAGATGAATTACATTGGTTAAAAGTCTGAATCATTGTGTGTGTTTTTTTTTTTTTTTTGCAGTTTTTGGCTGGGGCTGAGTTTGAACCTGCCACCTCTAGCATATGGGGCCAGCGTCCTACTCCTTTGAGCCACAGGCGCCACCCAGAATCATTGTGTTTTTTTTTTTTTTTTTTTTTAGATTAATAAAGCATTTGTTGATTCTACAGCAATTTAGCAGGCCCCTAAGAAACCCACCAGAGACCCGCGGAGCTCCAGTAATTTTCTGTTATATTATCTTTCTTGTAAAATACTTCCCCAGACAGAGTCCCCAAAGGGGCTCAAATATCACTGTGACTAACCAAAATCAATGTGCACTCACCTATTGACATTTTTATATAGTTTTTGGATTTAGTATCCAGCCGAACACAATCAACTCCTCTGCCAAGGAGCCGACAGTGAATCATTGTGTTTTTGCAATTCAGAAAGTAGTTCAGAAACTGGACATTTTTTAGAATACTGAAATATTTTTCTAGATGTTTATACCATGAAAATAACAACAGAGGATGGGTGTGGTGGCTCATGCCTATAATCCTAGCACTTTGGGAGGCTGAGGCGGGAGGATCACTTGAGGTCAGGAGTTTGAGAACAGCCAAGACAACACAATGAAAGACTCCATCTCTACAAAATACAGAGGATTTGAGGGTGACAAATTCTCAATATATACCAATAACATTTGTTTGTTATCTTTTTTTTTTTTTTTT